TAGTGATACTGCCTCGGAAACCCAAGGAGGGGTCGCTATGAGTCGGGGCCGACTCGACGGCACATAACAACAACAACAACAACATTACCAAACAAAGCATTTCAGATGATGTGCCTCTCCTAGTCTTTCCCCCCTCCACTAATATGTTGGTTTCTACCATCTGATAGAAATGACCAAACTTGACCATTCTTACCTGAACCCTGTTACAATCACCGACTTGAAGCCTGATAAAATACTGTAACCTTTCAAGAACTGGAAAAGAAAATAAGACAAGTATCATGTATCAAGAAATAGCATGCGAGAAATGCCAAAAGATTAGGAATTGACTAAAAGCTCACATTCCTTGTCATCCTAGGTAAAGTTTTTTCCTGTGTATTTTGATAGCCCTGAACTTTGAAGAAGTAATTCCTAACTACTTATGTCAACCTGGTGGAAGAAAGATGAGACAGTCTGCTTCTATGAAGATTTACAGCCTTGGAAACCCAATGGGGATCACTATGAGTTGTAATTGACTCCATGACAGTGACTTTGGTTTGCTTTTGGTATGTCACCCTGAGTCCTATAAGAAGCTGACATAAGATTAAGCGAGGAAAATATTTATTCTGGGTAGAACAGGAAAGAAAATGGGGAGGGAGCTGGGAGACAGCCATTGGGTCCTGAGCAAATGATAAAGGAAAAGAAGATTGGATGGAACCCTAGACCGAATTGGGAGGGTTCAATAAGGTCCTCAAGGGAATTCCATGTCTGGCAGATATGGACCTGCCATGCTCATTCATTGGCAAAGAGCAGAAGATGCTATCATGGGTTTCAGAGCAGCTGGAGTTCTTGGTTGATTGCATTCCCTGTAGTTGGAGGTCTGGGAGGAGCATCGTTATGGCTGTCACATGACCTGATCTCTCCCTTTACATATTTCAGCACTGCTTGGGCCAATATTGTTTCTTATGATGGTTTTCACTATATTTTATTTCTCTGAATACCAACCCCACAGGTGATTCTACTTGATTCCAGTCATATTTATTAGGCAGTTATAACATACAAAGCCCTGTGCCAAGTACCTGAGTGGGAGGGATCCAATGTTAACATATAACTCTCTTTCCACAAAAGTATATAATTGTGTGTGTGTGTGTGTGTGTGTAAAGGGATCCTTATGCATTGCAGAAATGTTACATGCCAGATATGCAAATCAGATGTCCAAGAGCTCTTCTGAATTAGCACTTCATCCCGGCACCCACAGAAAAGGGTAATATCTATGTGGTGCACTAGGTTAAGCAGGAGATTGCCCATGGCCTGAGGCAGGGGCTTATCTGCCAGAGAGTTAACCAAAAAAATCAAAACCAAACTCACTGCCGTGGAGTCGATTCCAACTCATAGCGACCCCTCCTTGGGTTTCCAAGGCAGTATCTCTATGGAAGTAGATTGTCCAGTCTTCCTTCCGAGGAGTGACTGGTGGGATTGAACCACCAGCCTTCTGGTTAGCAGTCAAATGTCTTAGGCACTATGTCTCCAGTTTCAGTCCATCTGTACTAATTTGTAAGGAGGCACTCTGGTGGCACAGTGCCTAAGGCATTTGAGACTGCCAACCAGAAGTTTGGCAGTTCAAACCCATTAGCCACTCTGCAGAAGCTAAATGGGGCAATCTACTTCCGTAAATAGTTAATGTCTCAGGAACCTAAATGGTGGTTGCTGTAAGTCAGAATTGACTCGATGGCAATGGGTTTTTGGTTTTAGTACTAGTTCATGCCAGACCACTTGGGCATTCAAATGAGTTAACTCAGACAAAGCATTTAGGTTTAAATCAATTAATCCAACACAAAACAGTAGAATAGTGTCTGGCACACAGTTAACACTCAGGTAATATTGTCTGTTTTCATATGAGTGCATTTAAACCTATCTTAAGTGAAAATGGAATCCCTGGGTAGGAGTAAATAGTTATTGCACTTGCCAGCTAATCAAAAGGTTGGAGGTTGGAATCCACCCAACGGTGCCTCAGAAGAAAGGCCTGGCAATGCACTTCCCCAAACTCAGCCATTGAAAATGCTAGGGAGACAGTTCTACTCTGACCCAGATGGAGTCACCATGAGTTGGGCTCAACTCAACAGCAGCTGGTTAAGCATGAATATCTAATGGGGTAAGTGAAAGCACCTGGAGATTTGCAAGATAGAGTGGTTTGGTGCCCTCTGTGCTCAGTCTCAGGCTGGTCTTCCTGAAAGATGTTAAAGATCTCTTCACATAGTATGTGAAGACAATTATAAATACACCTAGTGATTCTAGGGAGCTCTGGTGGCATAGTGCCTAAGGCACTTGACTGCTAACCAGAAGTCTGGTGGTTTAAACCCACCAGCCACTCCTTGGAAGGAAGGTTGGGCAATCTACTTCCATAGTGATACCACCTTGGAAACCCAAGGAGGGTTCGCTATGAGTTGGATCCGACTCCATGCAGTGGTTGTGTTTGCATTTAGTGATTCTTCTAGACAAAGTAATTGGGCCTCTGAATAGGTTTCGGTGAATTGGTACCACCAAATCTTATCTGAACCAATTCTCCCCTGGGAAGAAGTACCATCTATAAGGTGATGTCAGTCTGCCCACTGAACACTTTTGAGCATTTCCTAATTCACCTTCACAGTTGTCTAGAAATAATTTCTTTCATAAATAATTTACTTTCATAAATTCTGACAGATCTAAGCATGCCCTGCAAATTGTCCACTCTGAATGCAATAGACTCAGCTCAGCCAAAAGCATTTGCTGGTTAAGAGCTCCTGGAGCCAAAACCTACTGCTATTTCCAAGTCAGTCTTGTAGGATCTATAGAGGGCAGAGGAAGTGTTCTTGAGGTCTTCTGGAAAGTCCACATTGAGTCTGACTGACATCCTCAGGGTAACATCTGATGAAAAACACAGGGCAATATTTAAAAACCTCATATTAGTGTTTGAGGGCACAAAGTACCAAGAAATATTTGCTTGAGCTGATGTCAAATAGCCACTTAACAAACAAGCAATTTAATGAACAGTTACTTACCTCTCAGGAGCTGGCAAAAAGGACCCTTGGGTGGCAGCTGTTTAAGGCAATTGCAATGACGTCCAACATAGCTGCCATGCCCCTGACAAGTGAGATTGTGGAGGCACCTTTCCCGAGGCCACCCATAGCCTGTTTCACAGGAGCACCAGACTTCATTCCCAGCAGGTCTGCATACTGTTGCCAAGAGGAACAAAGAGGAGAGAGAAGGTGGTCACTACCATTGCACTGATGGACTGACTACAAGTATCTGCACCTGTGGACCCCCTGAGTGGTGCAAACTGTTAAGCACTTGACTACTAACCAAAAGGTTGGCAGTTTGAGTGCACCCAGAGGCATCTCAGAAGAAAACCCTGGCAACGTACTTCTGAAAAATCAGCCATTGAAAACTCTGTGGAGCACAGTTCTACACTGACACACATGGAGTCACCACAAATCAGAATTGACTCAATGGCAACTAGTTTGGTTTGGCTTATTTATACTTGTAGGACATCCTAACTCTACTTTAATTATTGTCCTTCTGAGAAATTCAATTGTACTGCACAAGATACTTGCAATTCCATATGCATCACCATCCTATTAGGCATCTCATCTAAAAGACAACTGCTACAACCCTGTCATCAGACACCTGTGATGATAAATATGATAAACAGTTGCCTGAACATAGACTGTATAGCAGTCAGCCTCTAAGATGGCCCCTGCAAATCCCTGACAATGAGTATTTATGCCCTTTTGTGCTTCCCTCTTACACTGTACCAGAGTGGGTCCATATAACCAATAGAATATGGCAGCAGTAATGGAATGTGATTTCTGAGATTAAGTTATCAAAGTCATGGGGCTTTTTTCTTGGTTGTTCTTTCTCTCTTAGATCATTGGCTCTGGGGAAGACAGCTGCCACATCACGACATTCAGACATTCTATGAAGAAGCCCACATGGTGAGGAACTGAGGTCTCTAGCCATTAGCTATCGAGGGACTGAAGCCTGCCAACTACCATGTGAGTGAGTCTGGAAGTGAATATCCAGCACCTACTAAGCCTTCAGATGACTGCAACTCTGTCTGAGAGCTTGACTACACTCTCACGAGAGACCCTGAGCCAGAATCAGCCAGCTAAGATGCTTCCGCAATTCTGACCTTCATAAACTGTGTGAGATAGAAAATGTTTTAAGTGGCAAAGTTTTAGGGTAATTTGTTACACGGAAATAGATTACAAATACCAAGTGCAAATAAATTTGTGCCATTTATAGTTAAAGTTAAATGTGAGTAACCCAAATGGACTCTGAAGTATAAAAAAAAAAAAAAAAAGCCCAGAAAACAAACTAGATTTATTCATAAAGCAGGACTAAAGTCACATCATCAGGAACAGTTCATTCTGCCAATGGGTGCCCAGGCAAAGGGCCACAAAATAACTACTCAAAGGAAAACCACCAGATAATAATTGTTTCTAAAACAGGAGGGACAGTAAGTTCCAGTGATTCCTTGGGCACTAATGCAATCCTGGGCCCTTGCAGAAGGTGGGAGTAGAGCAGAAGGGATAGGACTAAAATAAATCAGTACTGCTAGTGAGGGTTGCTATGAGTCGGGGGCGACTTGACGGCAAATAACAACAACAACAGCTAGTGAGGGTAGTGAGAAGCCCTGGTCTCACAATGGTTAGTGCTTGGCTGCTAACTGAATGGTTGATGATTCAAACCCATGGTAGAAAAGATCTGGTGATCTGCTCCCATAAGAATTTCAGCCTAGGAAACCCTATGGAGAACTTCCACTGTCACTATTGGGTCACAGTGAGTTAGAATTAACACTACAGCACAGAAAGAGTTTTTGGCAAAAATATTTACAGCCTTGGAAACTCCATGGGGCAGTTCTACTCTGTCATTATAGGCACTTGACTGCTAACCAGAAGACTGGCAGTTGAAACCCACCAGCCACTCCTCGGAAGGAAGATGGGGCAATCTACTTCCCTAGTGATACTGCCTCGGAAACCCAAGGAGGGGTCGCTATGAGTTGGGTCCCACTCGACGGCACATAACAACAACAACGAGTTGGAAATGATTTGACAGCAGGGAGTTATTATTATTATTATTATTTGATCATGTTCAGTAAGTCTACTTTCATCACCTACCCACTCCATCTACCTTCCCTTTGAAGCCAACTCTTCTTAGGCATTCCCTGCTGGTACTGAGGTCCATGATCCTCAGGCTCTTTCTACAGCACGGATCATCCATTTTGCTAAATTTCTTTCTCTGTTAGACATTAGAAAATATTCAGCCCTCACTGTGTGAGTGACCAGCCTGTCTGGCAGGATGAATGGAACTTTCCAAGGTCATTTGCATTTCAAAAGAGAAACTTATTACCTCAAGTTTCTCAAATGCAGTTAAAGCCCCTTGAAGTCATTCTGGTTCTAATAAAATAAAATTAATCAGGAAGAGGTTGTTAATATGTCTATATTGAGTATATATTGTAAAAGCTCACAACTGTAAACTCAAGTGTCTATAATCACAAGCTGTTCAACTAAAACAAACTATTTACTTATTAGGTACTTACGGTTCTGTTTTGTTTACTACATTTGCTTTCTAGAACCCAAGCAGACACCAAAGGTTTCCAAACAAAAATTGGAAGCAAAACAAAGTTGAATAAAAATCTATTTACTAATTATTTTTTTCCTTAGTTAAGGGAAATAATTATAGAGGCAGAAGAAGATCTGTGCTGGGTAGGAATACAGAAAGCTATTTTCCAAGTGTTCCAAAGTACACTAGTTTTGTGAGATGTCCTGGGCATAATACATTTGGGAAACACAGCACTGGCTCTCCCCTGCTGGAGATTTCACGGTGCATATTGGCATCACATTGGAGAACTACTAGCATGAGGAAATTAACATTAATTGTTGAATTTTGTGGGAAGTGGCACATTTATAAGGGAGCCATTCCAGGGGCAAGTTAGTATATTTTAGAACAAAAAATTAGGATGCATAGACTAATAGTAAAAAAAACCTCACTGCTGTTGAGTCAGATCCGACTTATAGCAAACCCTCCTTGGGATACCAAGGCGGTATCACTACGGAAGTAGATTGCCCAATCTTCCTTCTGAGGAGTGGCTGGTGGATTTGAACTGCTAGCCTTCTGGTTAGCAGTCAAACGTCTTAGGCAATATGTCACCAGAGCTCCTAGGACAGACTATTTGAGATATGAGAATTCAAAAAGAATTTGGAAAACAAGAATTATTCTTGCTTCCATTTTAGAATAATAAAGTCTAGCAATTGTTGTTGTTGTGTGTCACTGAGTCAATTCTGACTCATAACAACTATGAGGGCAGGATACAATTGTCTTTATGGGGCTTCCTAGACTGTAGATATTATGGAAGCAGATCATTAGGTCTTTTCTCCTGCAGACCCTCTGTTTGGCAGCCAAGTGCTTAATCATTGTGCCATCTTAGCAACTGTTAGTGTTTTCCAATGAATAATGCAGGAACCTTTTTAACTTACACTGTGTAGGGCAAGGGGCAGTCCTGTTTCATAGCTTCTAGAGGATACCAAGTGCCCAGGTGATGGATCTGACCAGGTCTCTGAGACGTAGGATAGCTAGCAGTCACTGAAAGGGAGTCAGTAACCAGCAACTCCAATCCCACAGCCCGTGAGGTTCTACTTAATGCCTTGCTTCTGATCCATGCATATGCCAGGTTCTTATTTCCTGACCTATGATGCCAAAAAGAAGGGAGCATGCTACTTATTAATATTCTAAACCAATCTGTGTTATGCTCATCAATTTCCTGGGGCAAAAGCATCCAGTAGTTTGTTGAGTGGGACCTAGCTATAACTTGGAACTACTTTGTGAGAACCATCACACAAACCATAAAACAAACCTTTGGTCATCATTTGAAATAAGGAAACCCTAGCTGAGAGGCTTTGTTCTGGAAAGTTGCGAAGTCATAAATCACATGTTACACCCTTTGGATCACTTCACTTGTCTACCAAGAATATTGGCTCTAATAGTAAGGAACTCAGACAGATTTTTTCTGATATTCCCAATCCTCAACTCGAAAGCAATAGGTCTTTTACTCACCTGTTGTTACAGCTATGCTCACAATGCTGATAGCGTGGGTAGTGCTGTTTCCCAGGTCTGAAAAATTGAGGTTGCTCAAATAAGCTTTGACAGGCTCCAGGAAGGTCGCATTTTCAAAACTGATCTCAATATCCACAGTGTAATCCTCAGCTGCAGGGATACTTGTGGCAACTGAAATGAAAGCACATGAAGGCTGTGAGAACTTAGTGTGGGAGATGGAAAGAGAATACTTCAGTAGTTAAAGGTAATGGTAAGCACAGGTGGATGCTGGGCTTCAATAATTTCAACGCTCCATATTTTTAATTATCCCTATCAGAGAAAAAGAAGAATGTGTCTACTTTCTCCCCAGTAACTCACCTCTTCAAGGTACTTGCTGTCTAGAATTTTACGATTTCAAGAAGAAAAGCAGTGAATCTGTCTAGGCTCAGTGTAGAGGTTCTTGGCCATTTGAAAGACTCACAAGCTAAGCACAGGACTTTTCCCTTTCTTTTCAGTCCCACCACAACTCCTTGGTGTCCCAGGCAAGGGACTGGTATGTGGAGAATGGGCTGTAAGGGAGCAGAGAGACCTAGCAGGGAAGTTTGAGAAACAGTCCAGATAATAAATGTCATGGTCTTGTTCAAGGTCTAAAATGCTAACTTGATAGGAATGAGTCAGTGTGTCTCCAGCACTATTCAAATGACACACATATATAATATATGTGATTTTTTTTTTACTCAAGCGTCATTTTCCTATCCCCAAATTACAGTTATTAAAGATTTGGACTGTACCAAGCATGACTGTAACAAGTATATATATGTATAAATATATGCACACAATCATATATATAGATAGATAGATAGATAGACAGACAGAGAGAGTGAGCAAGCTCTGGTGGCATAATTGTTAAAACATTCAGCTGCTAACCAAGGGGTTTGAACCCACTAGCCTCTCTATGGGAGAAAGATGAGGTAGTCTGCTTCCGTAAAGATCTGCACCCTTGGAAACCCAATAGGACAGTTCTACTCTGTCCTAAAGGGTTGCCAGGAGTGGCAATGGGTTTTATATGTATGGAGCTCACCACAAAATATATGCATGCCCTATCAATTCTTGTGGGAGCTCTGGTGGTGTAGTGCCTAAGGCATTTGACTGCTAACCAGAAGGCTGACAGTTCAAATCTGCTAGCCACTCCTCAGAAGGAAGATTGGGCAATCTACTTCCGTAGAGATACCGGCTTGGAAACCCAAGGAAGGGTTGCTATGAGTTGGGACCGACTTGACAGCAGTGAGTTTGGTTTTGGTATCAATTCTTATTAAATTTAGGACTCTCTGAATCAAGTGATAGGTTTACCTGTCTGATGCTACCAGAATCTTTGGCTCAATTTTGGCTGGAATATATAACTGAAGCAGAAATCAAGAGCTCAGTGGCCAAAAAAGAGCCATAAAAGATAGGAAGGTTTTGGTTTTGTTTTGCTTTTACACAGGTACTTTGAGAAAACAGCCATGACTTACTTTATCTCATCAGTTAAATGAGAGAAAGATTATAAATAGTTGGAAAACTATTACTGTAAAATTTAAATCAAATCTGGAAATATGATGTATATCTGCTATAAAATTAACTTATATGGCCATTTACTAAAAGATCAAAGAATTTTCCCCTAATATTGGAAGATCTGTTTTAAATGTTCCAAAGACTATAAAACCTTAAGAATAGAGTAGGGTTAATTATGGAAAATTCCATTTGTTAAATGTTTACTTCAAAAAGCTGTAGTATTTGTTCACTTAGAATTCTAAACTATGTCTTGTTGTTGTTGTTATGTGCCGTCCAGTCGGACCTGACTCATAGTCACCCCTCCTTGGGTTTCCGAGGCAGTATCACTACAGAAGTAGATTGCCCCATCTTCCTTTCAAGGAGTGGCTGGCGAATTTGAACCGCCAGCCTTCTGGTTAGCAGTCAAGTGCCTTAGGCACTATGCTACCAGAGCTCCCAACTATGTCTTAGGGGGTTGGTTTTACACATTAACTTTGCTGATAATTATTTTTATTTCGCCATCATTCAGTTTGCTCTAATTAACTCAAACTGTTAAAAAAAAAAAAAAAGTCTATGCAGATTTTCTTAAAATTAGGAATGCACTTCAGGGTTTATTTCTTAAATATTTACAAGGAGAACACAGTAAATTTTAACCCAATGTGGAATCTCAGTCTGACAACATACTATGGCATTGGCTCAAATTTCCTGTTTTCTTTCTGATTCTCAAACATTCTGTGCTGAAAACCAGCTTCCTGCAAGAACTATTAATCTTAATTTGTATAACACTAACTGTTCAGCACATTAGCTACCCACTGGGAACATTTACAAGGAGAGCAGCTGTGTGATATTTACAAGGTCTGCCTTGGAGCACACTCTTTCCTGAAAAGTAATGCAGCAATGCTTATATCCTGCAGAGGATTCACTAGCTCCAGGATCCTCTTGGCAGCAGTCAGTTTACTTTCTGCCCATGAATGTAAGCAGGATTTCCTGGACGTTGGCTGCTTTTGAGATGAGCGAAGTGGGTAACAGGTCCCAGATCATGCACTTTAATCATCTGCATCCTAGAATCTGATCTAGCACAGTATCAATGCCTGCCTGAGGATGTTTCTAAAGTTCAGTCTTGAGCCCATCTCCAAGCTCTTTTCAGCCATGACTATAGAACAAGAGTGTGCCTGGAAACTACATGGCGACTCATGGATGTCATCATTTGCCACTGAAACCAAGGCAGTTCTTCTGCTGAGATTGGTGGCATAGTGCCTAAGGCATTTGACTGCTAACCAGAAGGCTGGCGGTTCAAACCCACCAGGAACTCCTTGGAAGGAAGGTTAGGCAATCTACTTCCGTAGTGATATTGCCTTGGAAACCCAGGGAGGGTTCGCTATGAGTTGAATCTGACTTGACAGCAGAGAATTTGGTTTTTTGGTTTTGAGCCAAAGGGAGTTCCAGTCTGTGAGGTTCCTGCAAGAGTTAATTTAAACACCAGCTCTAAAGTCTTCTTTCCCACAACTACTTTTATGTTCTACAAGAAGTGTCAGAATAACCCTCAGCCTGAATGCCATCTCATCCTAGAGACTGATAAAGGATGAGGAACATTTCATGGGGAAGGTAATATTTTCTCCTTGGAAAGAGTCAATTTTTCAAAAATGCCATAGTAACTCAAAAGGCTATGGACTTAGCCTTAGAAGGATGTATTTTAGTGGTCTCCACAGCTGGCTGATGGTTCGTCACACCTAGGGCATTCTACACACATGACAATTTTGGAGTCTCATGACATGGACCAAAATAGAATCTTTATGGTTTGGGTCCCAAAATGTTTGGTTTTGTTTTGTTGATTTCCATTCTGAGGACCAAGCAGGTTTGAGATTTAGAGTTCTAATTCATAAAGGAGCGAAGAAGGTAAGTGAATTATTTGAGGGTGGGAAGCCAAGATTACCAATTGTAGTGGGTTGAATAAACCAAAACAACCAAACCCACTGCAATCGAGTGGGATCCAGCTCATAGCGACCCCTCCTTGAGTTTCCAGGTGGTATCTCTACAGAAGTAGATTGCCCAAACTTCCTTCTGAGGAGTAGGTGGGGGGTTTGAACCACCAGCCCTCTGGTTAGCAGTCAAATGCCTTAGGCACTATACCACCAGAGTTCAGTGGCCTTTCAATTTATGCCTATGTGGACCCTCATTATGTGGCCTTATTTGGAATAAGAATCTTTGCAGATATAATTAACATAAGGGCTTAGAAATGAGATCATCCTGATTCGGGTGGGTCCAAAATCCTATGACAAGACCCCTTAAAAGAAACAGAAAAGGAGAAGCATAGGGAAGAAGACAAGAGAAGACAGAGGCAGAGATTGGAGTTTTGCTTCCCCAGGGCAAGGAATTCCAGAAGCCACCAGAAACTAGAAGAGACAAGGAAAGTATCTCTTCTAGAGTCTTAGGAGGGAATGTGGGCCTGCTGAAACCTTGACTTTCAACTTCCAGCTTCCAGAACTGTGAGAATAAATTCCCATTGTTTGAAACCACCATGTTTGTGGCATTGCATTGTGGCAGGCCTAGGACAGTCATACAATAACGAATATTACCTATTTCTGTTTGATTTGGTTTCAAACACTTCCTACTGCTGCTTCTATGGAGTAAACAGGCAGTGTTTAGGCATATCTGCTTATCCATAATCTATCTCTCTTGCCTGGAAGAAGCTGATACTTGCTTCACTCCCTTTCAGTGATACTGGATCAAAGACAATCATAACGAAAAGTAACAATAATGACAGTTGTTGTTGTTTGCCATCAAGTCGGCCCCGACTCATAGCGACCCCTCCTTGGGTTTCCGAGGCAGTATCACTACGGAAGTAGGATTGCCCAACCTGCCTTCCGAGGAGTAGCTGGGGGGTTTGAACCGCCAGCCTTCTGGTTAGCAGTCAAGTGCCTTAGGCACTATGCTACCAGAGCTCCTAATAATGACAGTAGTTGCCATTTATCTACCATCTTTTAGGGTTTAGGGTCATGTGGGCAGTATGCCTATCCCCATTTTGCAGAAGACAAAACTGAGCTGAACATTTACATTAGGTAGATACACTTCTCAGAGAAATCAATCATGGGAGAATAGAAGGGCTGTGTATGCACAGAGAGATAGCTCAGGGGGCAGGAGTGCATGGGAGGGAAGGACACAGGGAAGAAGTGGTTATGAGGAGGAAGTGGGAGGAGAGCTGTTGCATTGTGAGAGATTACAGTCAATGTTATATATATGGAACTGCTATACGGAAGATGGATTTGCTCTGTAAACTTTCATCCAAATCACAATAAAATTTTAAAAAAACAAAACAAAACACTTTTGTGGAAAGTCTTTAACCATGGGCTGTGAAATATTATTTCAAATGCAGCTGTAAAGAAACTAATAAGAGAAAAAGTCAGAGTACCCACCCACTGCAGGAGATGATTTATATTGTGCCAAGCAATTTGTGGCCCTATCCAGTGGCATGGTTTGAGGAGTGTGTGGCCCTCAATGAACCACATTACGCTTCCATTTTGTGTTCAGCAAGAGTAGTAGTAAATTATGTACTGCAATTCTGGGGTGGACCATTCCTACTGTCTATGACTTCTTCTTTTTAGTTCCCCTTTTTTCACAACCCACCCCATCCTGGGCACTGTTTCTTAGATGAAGCATTTGTT